GTCACCAAGGCTCTTAATTCCAACAGCTTCAAGTTAATACTCTTGGCTGTGAATGTTTGTTGGAGTTGCTCTGTTGTTAACTTGATAAGGAAAATTTAACAGATCATACCAGTTGTGTATTGGGATATAAAAGATTGTTCTATTTATTTTTGAAGCTGGCTGAAATGAAATTTGAAGGCAAGCTTTAAGCCTCTGTATGAATTGTTCATTTTATGTTATAATACTTTATCTTTTATAGAATAAATTTTACTTATTCTGTAAATTCTATGTTAATTATTACTGTGAAGACAATATTTGCAGTTAATTGTTTTTTAATGTCAACAGGCAATGAATTACACAGAGCAGACTTCTTTCCCCCCTAAATTTTTCTGTTTTATAATTACTGAAGTATTTATTAAGTAAAAATGCCATCTCTTTTAGCAATTACAAAAGAAATAATTTTAGCAGCTAACTATTTTCTGTATTTGAAAAGATATTAATTACATAATTTCAAAGAATTGGTAACAAATAAAATGTATCATTATTAATCTGTGCTAAGTTGTATAGTCTTCTAGTGATTTGAAAGGAGAAAAATATTTGATAGAAGTTAAAACTTTACAACATACATCTCCAGAGTTCTCTAAGGAAAAATTGTGTCATTGTTGTAACTATCAGGAAAATATTTATACAAATATTTTTCAGACAGAAATGGCTAAGCTGTTGGAAAGAAAAAGTTCCTCTAAAGAAAGAGTACATAGATCTCTCTCTCTCTCCACATATCTCAACTTGAAAATATCTTGTGGGTGCATTGTATAGTACTTACGTAGGTCATAGAGGTGACTGTTCATAGGAATGTGATGTATATATGTTGTCAAAGCAAATTATGTTTAAAATATGTAGCATTTGGTGCTTGCAGCTGTAAAGGAAAGTACTACAATTGAGAAATATGAAATCTGCAGATGCTTGACTTTTCTGCTATAGAAAGTAGATTTTTAAAATAAGACATTATTTTTAAGCAGGAACCAAGGAAAAAGCCGTTTAATCTTTATTTAGTGTCATCTTTATTGTATGAAATTCACATTTTATAAAATGGGGCTTGATTGACAATGTCTTTGGAAGGTTTCTTTTGAAAATCTAAGCTATGAGTTAAAAACTAGATTTTATTGTAAATGAGATTGTCATGTTCATTATTAATCTATAGCATGTTTTATCTTATTTTTACAATAATAGGTAACCCACAGTTAAAAATCCATACGTGGAAGTAATAGATAATGTAGATATAACAATTACCAACAGTGTGATCTGAAATAAATTTTCTTAACTGTTTAAGCCCCATACTTTAGTTTTATAGCAGCAACATAAATATATCTGAATAAAAATCCAGAACAGAAAGTGAAACTGATGCAAATTAATTTGAATTAATTAATTGATAAATTTTCTCTCTGAAAAGTTCTTCAGTTAAATATGTGTTTTTTAAATTTTTATAATCTGTAGATGAGATGTCAAAATTAAGGACTGACCACAATTTAATTAAAGCTTTGCAACCTGTCACATGAATTCCTGAGTGTAAATTTTGTAGTTATTGTCAGCCGAAAAATGAGTACTGTTGCATGAAGAATGTTCCTATGGTTTGTCTTGTGTAATGGACTTTAGTCTTCTTTTTGTTATAATAGCTATAATACCAAAATAAATATCAAGAGTTCTATCCAACTCTTTGTATTCATATTAGCTTTTACTACAAACTTTTTGTTTATCCTCTGTAAGTAAATTCCTGTGCTGAAAAAGGAGTTGTAAAATCAGTGGTCTCGTGTAGTAGCCATCTGTACATTCTAGTAGCTGCTAATTTTTTGGAGTACTTGTAGTGTTGCAAAATAAGAATAGCATTGGAGAGAGCTTGAGGACATAAATTGTTGCAGAAATAATTTATTTTTAAAGGAAAGCTTTCTCACTTAGGAAGTATTCTACACACAAGTAGAAATGAAAAATAAAGAAAAAAATCCTGTTTACAGATTTTTATCCATGCTAGCTAGAGGGGAAAAATGAAATAGATCCAAAAAATATGGAAATAAAGTAAAACTATAATAAAGAGAAAGACTGAGTTTGATTTGTCTAATTTGCTAGCTATGCATTAAATAGTCTCATTTACCAGTACTTACTTACCAAAGTATTTGCATTTGAAGGTCGGTTTACTATGACTGTGGGATTGTAGAGATTCCTTTCAGAGGAAGGACAGGCTGGAGCAAAAAAACTCTTTTAACTGTCTTCTTCTTGATCAGATACCTGAAAGCACTTCCTCCAAAAGGCAGATGAGATTGCTTTATTTTTCCATACGTTGCAGACGGATGAGTAATGTTTTCTTTCAGTAATGCCCAATAGTGGACTTGTTTTTTTATTTTATCCTTTTTGTTCAACTCTGTATCTCTGTAAATGTCAGCTGTTCTCACTCAAATTTTTAAATGAAATTTAATTTTAAATTTTAAATTTTAATTATAAATTTTAATTTAATTTAGGAATTTGTAACTTAGAACCCTAATTTAGCAATGAGTACCTGAATCTCTGATAAAAGTAAAATGTACTTTTAAATAAAGCTAAGATAACCTTGGATAAGTTTTCTTTATTATCATACTAGGATGCTGTAATCTGGGGAAATAGATTGAGTATACCACATACTGGAGGATCCATTTCACATACAATTATGCAAAATCCATCAAGTCCTTGGTTTTAACTCCTATTTTAAGAGCCAAGGCATGTGATTATTTTAAAGTGTTGTGTGTGATGTGTTTGACTGATTGCTGTGAATTTCAAGAACACATTTTTACTGGGACCTGTGCTCTTAAATTGTTTTGAAAAGTCTTTTAATAAGTGTGCATTAAGCATCAAATAGTTGAAATAGAATTATATGACCAATTATATGCCTGTATATCCTAATATAATAATGTATTTTCCAGAAAGCTTTGAGTGAAAATTAGGCAAATGAAGGAAAATTGTATCATATTGAATAACTTGAATTTAATGCAGAATTTGGCCTCTGCAATTAGGAAGCAGAGCAAGAGGAACAGCAATTTAATTTTTTAAAAATATTTTTACATTAAGAAAAATTTAGATATATTGAATTAATAACTATAGCTGTTGCTTTTGTAAACACTTATTTTTCTAACAAAATAAAATTTTTTTACTTTAATTGAAGTTTGGAAGTTTTGGATATCCTGCTAATAGAGTATGACTTTTTCATACAGGTTTTCAAAATGTTTTAAGCTGAATGGGAAATCCTATGCCTACTACTTTACTTCCAGAACCATTTAACTTTGAAGTCTTTTTCTAACATCTTCCTTAGAAAGACATCAGGTTGTTTAGACAGTCTGTTTCCTAGATATTGGTCTGTGGTGGGTACTTGAAAACAGCACTGCAGGTCTGGGAGGCTTCGGGTCTAGAATAAACTTGCATGTTTTGGTGTAATGCAGCCGTCAGTTTTGGGGTGGCCCAAAAATTATTGCTATGTCTTATTGGTCATGGGAATCAAGGAATCAAGGACTGTTTAGGATCAAAATTACCCTTGACAGAAAATCAGAATAAGACATCTACCCTGTGGACAGATAATGGATTTATTACAGTGCTTCCCATGATCTTGTATTAATGTGAATCTTTTGCTTTACAAAAAAAAAACAGTGTCTGGAAATGGAGCTCAAAAATATTTATGTTGTTTGCATATATATATTGCCTCAGGCCTACTCAGACTTTGCAGTTTTCTAGGTGAATTAATGCATTATTAAGTGTAATTGATACTGTGTGCAATCATACAACTTCTTGGACTTTCTACTTTGGCTCATTGTGCACTTCGCAATGCTGGAGTGAAAGGTGATCTCAGTGTGTTACCAGTACCTTCTATACTGCCAAATATTGTGATGTATAGAAAGCACAGTAAGCAGAGTTAGGCTGCCATGGACTGCAAGGCAACATGCATTCAAAACAGTTCATCAGTCTGAGAAAATACTTAGCACTCGTTTGTAGAAAAGCATAGCTTTTTAACTATTTTCCTTGTGGGCCTGGCAGAAAAAGACCGGTAGATAATACTTCATCTTCCATTTTGCTGAGCCAAGTACAGGGGAAGTTGGCCAGGATTTCTCGGCTGCTGCACTCCAAAAAGGAGAGACCAGGAGGAGACATGTTTTATCACTTCATTTGTCTGCTTTGGAAAGCAAATACCTGTACTAAAGACATGGGGAGAAAGGGAGCTGATAATTAGTATCAATATCAGTTTGGTCTGGCTAAGTTATTTCTACATGTGCTTCTCATAGATTTTTGTGGTCTGTGCCATCATTCTGGTACTTGACAGTGAGAAGATCACACTATATATTTGGTTATTAAGATTGATAATGTTACATATTTACAGGTTAATTTCCAATTAATGTGGTATTTGTAGTATTTTGTGCCATTCTAGGTAAAATAATGAAACTCTCACAGTCATTATCAAATCTGATCTCCCGAGTGGAACACAAATTGTAGGGGGTTGTGTAGAGCATGGATTTGACTCACAGGATAGGCAAATCCACTTAATTTTCATAACTGCTTAATGCTTAGAGCCTTAATAATTTTAAGAGTTCAAAGAAGTTTGAACATAATGTTCCTTTAGCCAACAAATAGTATGCACTTTTAGATTATAGTTTTTCTATATGCTTTAAAGTGGCACAGGAAAGAGACTCTTACTCTGTTCCTAAAATATTTGCTTCTTGGCAGCAGTAGTCTGGATGTATAGCAAATGTACTAAATATAACCTGCCTATGATTTAATGCAGCACACATGTAGAGAATGAAAATAACATTAATAAAAGTTGTTTTTTTAATAAGTACCTTTGTGCAAGAGGAAGGACTATTCTGGTTATGACTACTTATTCAGTGATATAAATAGAACTTTCGAGTTTCCAGGACTGTCAGTCTGGCAAAGTTCATTTGACCTCAATTTGTGATAGAAGATTCATGAAACTAATGTCCTCACTAACATTTATTCTGTATTTCTGTTAACAGGAGGAATGCTTTTTGAATTTAGAAGCTCCTATTGCAAGAGTATGTGGCTATGACACTCCCTTCCCTCACATCTTTGAGCCCTTCTACATCCCAGACAAATGGAAATGCTATGATGCTCTTAGAAAAATGATTAACTACTGAGCAGTAGTACAGGTGAGAAATAACATTGTGTACTGACAGGTTACCTCCAAGGGTTCTGACAGGATAACTGCAAGGTTTAGGGCTATAGTACTACTTGTTTATTTCATTTATTTACTATTTATTTATTTAGTTATTTATAATAAGAATTGCCTCTTATCGCTTTGGGCCTTCAGTCTTAAAGGTGTCTGAATATTTTTGAGTACTGCCATTGAAATCAGTGTTTAAAATTAATTACCTTGCTGAATCAATCTGAAAATTAAGTGTCTTGAATCCTGGGAAGTGAAAAGAGTATGAAGTGAAGGGTGAAAGGAATACTTACACATAGAATATATTTTTATCTCTATTAGATTACTCAAGAGTTACTTCATAGGCAAGCCACAGTGTTAAATTTTATAATTTTTCACTCCTCTGGGTGGCCTGTAATCCTGCAAAGTACAAATAACACCAAATTCACCCTGAATATTGGCTCTGTATTGTAAACATACACAACTGTTGGAAATACATGAAGCACCTGTAGTGTCTGTTGAAGCACTAATATTCAATATTTGTTATAAAAGTAATTTTTCTTTATGGTCTTCCATGTAATTTGATCCTGCTTGAAGATTTTACCTTGCAGAACACAAAGATTGTTTTTTTGTATTTCTGTGTCTGTTACAGTCTGTAACATCTTTTGTTTCATTATAATATTATACTAACTAACATTAGACTAAGTAGGGGGTGTTACTGACCAGGATTTAGAATTATGCTGCAGGAGAACTTCTGGTGTTTAATGACCAAAGTTTAACAGTTTAGAAAATGTGTTAACACAATGGATTCTGTGCTTCCTCTAATTGAACAAAATAACCTGGTTTTTGAGATACAGTCTTGCTGGATCTTGTACATGGTAAATGAAAAGAAGAAAACAACAGAACCTGTGATGGGCAGGCAGTGGATTTTTAGCTGTTCACACCAAAGACAGGAGGGCCAAAGTGGGCCCCATATTAGGGACACCGTCTTCCGTCCATTTTACCTCTACATTAATCTGTGAATTAAATTTATAGCCATGGATAGAAGGCTACCAGTACCATAATGGTAATTTCCTTTATATAAATAGTTACTTTCAGGAGACTTTTTAGCATTCCACTCTGTTTGATTCTCTCAACAGCTGATAGTGGAGTGCCTGTATGAGAAATGGGTTTGCTACCAGTGATGCAATGTCTCCAAAAAATAATGTAGTTCTATTTTTCTCAAAAATCGCTTGTTACTGACATACCAGAGCATTTCATAGAACCACAGAATATGCTGAATTGGAAGGGACACATCAGGATCATTGGGTCCAACTCTTGTCCTTGTGGAAGCCAACCCAGTAATCCCATTATGTGCCTGAGAGTGTTGTCCAAATGCTTCTGTCAGGCTTGGTGCTGTGATCACTTCTCTCAGGTGCCTGTTCCAATGCCTGACCAGCCTCTGGGTGAAGACCCTTGCCCTGATATCCAACATAAACCTTCCCTGACTCAGTTTCACGCTGTTTCCTTGAGTCCTGCCTTATCATGAGAGAGAAGAGCTCAGTGCCTGCCCCTCCTCTTCCCCTCATGAGGAAGCTGTAACTGCAGTGAGGTCTCCCCTCAGCCTCCTCCAGGCTGAACAGACCACAATCCCCTCCCTTGCCCGGCCGGTGATGCAGTTCTTAATACACCTCTTTTCCTTGGAATTAAAACTAAAGCTGTTTTCTGACATGTCATCTTTTTTGTAGAATATGTAATCAGTGTTTTCCTTTTTTATAGCACTTGTCCTTGCCTTTGATCTGGGTTGAAATAAACTCCTTAATGACTTGTTTCCTTCTTTTGTTTGTCACCTCTGTAACACAGGGAATTTTGCCTGAAGAGAATGCTTGGTTGTATCTTTCCTTGCAAGAAAGTTACTGGGCAAGTTACTGAGTCATGCTAGGTAGCCTCTGATTTGTTACTTTTCAAAGGAAACCAAAGCACCAAATATAGTCACCTCTGTAAGAAAAGGGAGACAAACTGAGGGCATTTGGTGGTTCAGAGACTTCATTAACTCCCTCTTCCACTACAGGATGGTAAAGTGAGGGAGATATGAGCTGAAAAAATGCCTTCTGAGATTGCATCGAATTTGTGCACAATCCAATTTCAACACTGGAAGTCTACACTAAACCTGGTCTAAAACATGGAAAAGTCATCTGCATTTATACTTTTATTTCTTTCATGGGCTGGACCACACACAAATGTCAGAGGAGGTTATTGGTCAGCTGAAAATGTGGATTTAGCATATCAAGGAGCAGGTTTATTATGGGTCATCTGAAAAACAGTGCCAGGACACAGAAAACTCTGCATTCTGCCTTGTCTAACAAAACATCCAGATGTTGGGGCCCATAACACCATATCTTTTGGTTGGTGTGACTAGATATTAGTGTCACAGAATGAGCTGCTCAAAGTTTTTCTGTTTTTTTCTATGAGAGTGCACACAGCCTCTCATTTCCCCCCTGGGAGAGAGAACTGGAAGAGTAAAAAAAGATGGGTGCTGTGGTTAATAATTTCCAAAGTTAGCATTATTATCTTAACGTACATTTAGTTTTGTTCAGCCTGTGTTGACAGCATCTCACACACAGGTAGTTGCTTATCTTGAGTTTGTCAGTACAGATGGATTTCCTGCACAAAGACAGTGTTTGTTAATGTGTCCTGTATACCTCACCAATGAGACAGACAGGAGCAAAGTCTCTATCTTTCAGCAGCTTCTCAGTTATTAAAATTTGTAGCTATGTTAGCTATAAGAGAAATAGCTTCCAGGTAGGCAGCTGTGTTCCAGATAACTCTCTGTAGTTGGAAAACAGATGAAGATAAAAAAAGCAGTGAGATTAGGATGGATATACATTTCCTGGGTAAGTGGAACAGTGTCTGGCTGTTTATTTGAGGAGGGAAAAAACCCCTAAAAGGAGAAACAGAAGATAGCCATGAAACTGAAGAAAATAGTGACAAATTTTATAAAATATACTCTTGTTCACCAATATGTTGAGGGCTGACTGTAGCATAGAAATGGCAGGTATTTAAGTGTTTTTCTGTTATATTTTGCAGCTTTTACTACCACATTTGTATATTTTGTTTTCTTGTCAGATTCTGAACAGATTCTGAATTTTAAAGCTGTTCTTGCTAGGTTGCAGTTTACCTGGGTGTGAGTGTGTGTGTTCATGGAGGGCCATTGTTACTTTTACAAACTTATTCTCTAAAAATGCAATGTTACTGCTGACTTCATTGCAAACTTCATTGCTGAGCTATTTTATGAGAAGTTTAATCTTGGTGCGTAAAGGCTAGGTGATCTTAGGGGGTTGATTTAAATTTATTTTTCTTTCCAAGCATGCATTTGAAATTGGTTGTGCTGGAAACAGGAAGGGACATGATAGTTACTTTAGTTAGTAACTGTGTCTTCCTTGCACTCCTGGCTGTTTGGCAGGGCTTCATACAGGTTAGCTTGAGCACAGGACAGCGTTACTTCCTCTCCTTGTTTTATAAATAAGATATGAGAGACTGTGCAAGATCTTTTTAACCCGCAACGAACAACCACTTTTTTTCAATACATGAATCACAAATGTGGCAGGCTAGACTGCCTGCTTAATAAGCACAAACTGTAACCACTAGAATAAAAAAACTCCAGAAGCCTGAGTAGGACACAAAATTCCTGGTTTATAATCTTTCCCTGCTGGATGACAGAAGCCATGCAAGTGGCCAGTGAATCATGTCTTACAACAAGTGAGTAGTCCACATATAAGATACCACTCTGCTAGAGCTATGAGTTAGACTGTTGGTATGGCTGCTGCAAGTCTACACTTGCATTCAGACATTGATGAGAATTCATGCAAGATCAATAATGAAATTATCTTTAAAAAAATATCTGTAAACAGAAAAGGTGTTGACTATAGTTTCTTTACCAGACCCCTCTTCTCTGTAATAGTAGAACGCTAGTATATCCAGTAGAAAAAATACAAAACATTTACTTAACATTCTAGAGTAGGAGGGAAGGTAGTTCATCATAAATTTTTTTGTGTAAATGGCAATAATTAGTAGTGTGATGACTCAAGGTATCATTTGCAGCATTTCTAATTTCTTCAGGTCTACCTTGGAAGCTTTAAAGATTTAAAATAGTATTTAACAGAAAAACAGTTAGTAATTGGTAGTAATTTGTTTTAGTTCATACACCTTGAAGTTAAGACATTATGAATTTAAGAAATAAGATTACCCTGGAGTGTTCTGTCTGTTTAATGTGCAGATATTAGTTTCAGTCTTCAGATTTATAATTTATTTTGTCATCTTTTTCTGCAGAGAGGAGAACAACAACAGGGAAATACAGAAGCTGCCTTCAAAACTCTTGACATTTTGATCAGATCTTTTGGGTTTGGAATTTACATAGCAGACTTTTCTTTTAACTCAGCTATCCTGAATGTTCATCTTGGCTATTCTTCAGCAAGTTCAAATTTTCCTTAATTATGAAATCAGTGATGGGCAAGTGATTGTTACAGTAAGTAGTTTCAGATGTATTTAAAGATATTCCAGATGTTGAATGAAAATTGCATATTGCTGTGCTTCACTAAGTTACATCAAGACTTCACTGTGTAAATATCAGACGCAGAATTTTATTCAATAAAACAATATGCTCATGTTGTCTCTTAGTTTTGCTATTGTTTTGGAAAAACCCAAAGAAGTTACTTGAATGTAACTCTGTTTTCAACACAATAAGCCTGACTTAGTCAGACCAATTTGTGTGATGGACACCTGCTTTAACTGGTGGTATCAGTGTTTTACCTGAGTGTCTTCATGCAAAACAGTCCCTCATACAGTCCCTCCCTCCCCCTTTCTGCAGGGGGAAGTCCATTTTTCTTGAGAAAGGAGGAGATCATTTTTTGCTTTGTTGCTCTGAGTGGGAGGCTTAATTGGTACATCTTTGCTGCAATATCCTTCCTTCTAGAATTGGAATGTGTCTGCTACTAAGCAGTTGCGTGAAAAGCAATTTCTCGTCCTTTTTTTCTGCTTTGCTATCCGTACAAATCAGTCTCATTCTGCACTGCTTCTTACCAAATGGGGGAAAGAGTGGAGTGGGGCTGAGGAGATGGGTGTCAGTAGCCAGACAATCATTTCTGTGATTATTCAGGGGGGTCTTTCCGAGAGAAAGAAGAATACCTTTGTACACAAACCTGCTCAGGACAATCCTCAAGGTGACAGCTGAAACATCCCAGGGAGGAACCTGAGGAGGGATAGCTTCACAGTCAGTATCAGTGGATCTGTGGAAAGTGCAAAATTGTTATCTTTTCAGGTCCTACTGTTTTTTGTAAGATTCTGTGTTCATAGTTTGTGCATTCCCTAAAGAATCCCACAACTGATAATGAAGCTAGTTCTTAATGTATCCAATCAAAATGAGATTGTTGTCAAATCTTGCAAGTCTCCTGTAAATGCTGTGTATAGAACTTGTTTATTGTCTGAAATAAGATAAATGCTTTACATGCTTTATATTTTTTTGTGCTGGATGGAAGCTATTTGGGTCATATGAAGAAAAATGGTTTTAAAAATTATTTCTGTCTTTGTAGAACATCAACAGATATTTTAGTAACTGTCTCCTAAAAATGTACTGTTACTGTATTTCAAAGCATATAAAAATAGATGCAATTATAATATTGCCTTAGTGAAATGTACTTTGGTAATTAATAGCCTTAATAAAATATACTTTATATTTACAGTTTTCATAGAAAAAAGGTGATTTCTAATTCAGTGCAAAGCTTAAGTTCAAGTGGCCTGTATTGAAATATGGAATAATATATTTCTTAATAAACATGTAGATAATATTTGCTCTTAATGTGTATTGCTACAACTACAATCCGGTTGAAGGGCAGGTTTTGTGTTTTTGGTGGCTGGTGGTGTGTCAGTTTTAATAGTATAAAAAATGGCTTCTTTCTCCTCTGCTTTGGGTAAAAGAATATTTTTCTCTGGCAAAGATGAATTAATGTTCTAAAATAGGTGTTGCTCCCAAAAGCCTGCCTAGATGGCAGTATTCACTCATGTAACCTGTACTCAAGGATGGAGGCTGTTTAAATGCGTGTTACGAAGAAATGACTTACAGTGCTAAGCTGGACAGGAAGGTGTATGCTGGTACATACAAATAACTGTTTCTTATTAAATTTCTTAATAATAAAATCCAAAGATAAGTCATATTTTCTGGTTTTTAAGCACTTAGGTCTCTTAATTGGATATTCTCAGGTTTAACCTGTGTGAAGATTGTTTCAATCTAAGTAACTCCTAAAGGAAAAATTTTGTCACTGCTCCTTGCTGATAGTCCAGAAAATTAGTAATATATCTAGTCATGCTCATTTAACACTAATTGCTGGAAATACTTACGGTACAAAGTTTATTGCTTGGTCCTGAGATCTTCATCAAAAGGGTTGTCAAGTATTGGAACAATCCCAGGGAAACAGGGGAGTCACCATCCCTGGATGTTTTTAAAAGATGCGTAGCTTTGACATTACGAGTGTGGTTTAGTGGTGGACTTGGTTCCAGGTTAATGGTTGAACTGGGATGATCTTAGAGGTCTTTCCCAACATAAAGTATTCTATGATTCTGTGAAAGACCTACTCAGCCTTCATGGGACTCCAGATTTATTAACTGCAGATGAAAGACTTGTATCCTCTTCTGTCATCTAGCTCAGTTAAAACTGTAATGCCATAACAACCTCACTGTAATAAACACTGCAGTGATTATATAAAAATTGGATTTAAATCATTAGAGGTATTCTTCCTCGTGGAAGTGCATGTGTTGATAAGAGGATTAGCCAGTAGTACATTCTCACTGCAGTAGCCAGGAGCCTTGACACAATGACCTTCTGCTCCTACGGTCTGATAATCAATTCTGAGCCCGTTAATCTTTCCAGACAGCTTTCTTGCTCCCATAGCTAAAACCCGGTGTTCCCAGTGCACTGGTGTACTGCAGAAGCTCTGTTCTAGCCACATAACTTCAGAGGCAGCAACTGAAAGGAATCCATTCAGCAAGCTGGCAGAGATTGTTATCACAGCAGCTCATGGGGTTCAGTGAGCATTATATGTTCATAACAAAATAAGCTGACACAGGCATGCAATTCTTTTGTAGCTCTTTTTCAGCTTAGCTGCTCTGCAAGATACATGTTGATTAGATATGGGAGAGCTACAGCTGACTTCAGCATAAACATGATTTTTAGAACTTGGTTCAGTTGCTTGTGCTTTGGCGTTGAATACCATTTGAGATGCCCTGGGGTGTCCTGCATGGTCTCCATGTTTCCTGCTTCCATATGTCCTATGTGGTATCTGCCAACCCCACGTGTATCTCAGGTGCCTCAGGGCATCTCAAAGAGCAGATGCTAGTGTTCAGGCATCTAAATGGAGCACTTTGTTTTCTGGAACTTTGGATAGCTGATATCTGACCATTTTTCTGTGAGTTTGCATAAAATGCCAGCACTGAGATTGATGCATTCCTTGATTTTCCAAATAAATTGCTCAAATCCTCAGTATGTGCATAATGTGGGATACATGATATTGTATGTGAAAGAAAGTATTGTCTCCTAGGTGATGGGCTGATGCTGCACTGGACTAGTTACTTCCTCAAGGAGAATAATTTAGAGCAAAACCCCAGCCTTGAAACTGGCCATAAGTCACAAGGTTTCTGATTATTTTCTGAAGATAACATGGGCAGGTTCAATTTCAGCAAAGCCATGAACAACAGGAGTGAGTTAATGGGAGAAGAGTCCCCTTGCTTTCTGTGGGCTCTGTGTGAGATTCAGCTTAGGATTAAGCCACCTAAATGTGTCCAGATCTAGGTATGTATGGCTGAGCAGAGCAGCTGAGCTGGTACTAAGTTCCTTTAAGTCTTGACTCATTCAGGAAGCTGAATTGGCTCCACTTACTGGTGGCCCCTGCATGGTGCCACATTAGGTGCTGTAAGGTGTCCCGTCTTGCCCTCAGCTGCTTGTCTGGAAAGGTTCAGGTGTCCCATCAGTCCTTGGTCACACCTGCTACTCGAGGTACATCTTTCACCATGCTCAAAGTCATCTGGGGCATCATTGCTAAGAGTGTGGGCAGCAGGATCTAATTCCCCAGTGGCTGTGGCTGCCATGGGATCACAGTCCAAAGGTAGACATTAAATTCTTAACTTCAGATGAAATCACTCATTCCATGCTTTTGGGAGAAGGGATAGAGTGGAGGGGAAGCACATGAAGTGTTTTGTGGATGCTGGGGCCGTGCACTAAGTGGTAGAAGAAGGTGGGAGAGGATGGTCTGTCCCTTAGTCCAGCTGCTACAAGCAGCATTGGCCTAACCCATGTTTAATATCACGTTAGTCATCCCCAGCCCCCTAACAGAAATATCTAAACCTCCTGATGAACAATACCAATTAATTTGATCAGTTGCCTATTTTCATATTTCAAGGGGAACACTGAAGCAGCACTAGCCTTGGTTTTATGTTACTTACTTTGAAATTGCTTTATGGTCTTTGGTGATGTTTCTAAACCCTTTTTTTTGTCTGCCAAAATGTTTCTGCTGCTCTAAGAGCAGAAATAGTGTCTGGTCTTGCTCATGTAGGTCTGTGGCTAACTGTTCTGCAACTGACAGTAATGTGCCACCAGTGTCTCATAAGGCATCCCTGTTGATTCCTGTGTGTAATTAATTACTTTTATACGGTAATTAAATCATTCCTGTTTACTTGCACTCTGCTTGCAGCTGAGTACTTGCTGAAAGGAGAAATTTTCTGAATTGCCTGTGGTTGCTCTCTTGCAGTGTTGGTGAGCTCTGCCCTGCCTGAGCCACTGCTAGTTCCAGGCTTGAGCAGTCTCTGGCAGTTCCGAGGAAAGTGACCCAGGCTGCAGGCAGGAGAGTACAGCTGATGCAGCCCCTTCCCCTCTGCTGCCCTGCCAGGTTCAGCTGTGCTGAGGGCCTCGAGGCAGCCCTGCCAGGTTCAGCTGTGCTGAGGGCCTCGAGGCAGCCCTGCCAAGGGCTCGGCTGGCAAAGGACGCTGTGGGTGCGCGGAGCCGTGCTGGGCCCCACGTAGCTTTGGTTTGGCTGGGGACGGGGGCCGGAGAGGCAGCAGAACCCTGCCCCTGTGAGGGCTGGAGCAGCACATCCAGGCAGGTCTCAGTGGCAGCTGCACAGGGGAGATATTACAGATTGTTTTTCGGTGATGACCTGGGACCTGACGGGCATTGTGTGACTCCAAGGCTGCCTGCATTTGCAGTGTATGGTGTTCCACATACAGCTCGGCTGTCTCACACTCTTTATTTGCTAGTCTAGGGGTTTGCAGGAAGGGGCAAACCTAGATACATTTAAAATTATTGGATGGTTCGTGCAGGAGATGCAGGGAAAGTGCCTCCAGCAGGACCCACGGCTGTAACATAGTGCTATATGCATTTCCCTACCATCCAGCCTGCTGCAGGGGAGTGCCTCAAGTCAAAGCAGAAAATGATTGAAATGTATGTGCCACATAATAAAGTGTTTTTGGGTAATTGTTTATCCCATAAAACCCAGAAAGATTGTGTCTACTGTGATGATAATGTTTTAATGCCTACTGGCTTGGCCTCAGCAATTTTCAAAGATGCCTCGAGAGAGAGTGGTGAGGTAGTAGAGGAACAAAGCCCAGCCTTGTTCAAGTGCAGCTCTGATGG